TAGAAATCTTCATAGTTGAATTTGAATTGGATAGAATATGTGAGTCCTATTATATGGAAAGGGGCAATGTTGAGTTTTGGAGATCCAATGAAGAGTACAATAAAGCCAAACGAAAGAAAAATAGGCAAGGCATCCAAAGCCTTCTTTAGATGCCCATGTGTCAATTACCATAGTCGAGCTAAAGACTATAAAAAAACCAGAAGAAAGCTAGGAGGGATGGACCCTTGTAAAAGGCCGTCGTCGAAAGACTCCACAATTCCCAGATTCTAGTATTTGTGATGAGAAACTGAGACCAAGAAACAACCAAATGAGAAGATCTAAAGCCAAGTTAGGAATGCCTACTAAATCAACGGGAGTAGAAACTGGTTCACGCGTTCCTTCTAGACTACCAAGCCTGGGTGATCATTTTCCCAAGGGATTCTTCGACAATGAATGTTTTACCTCAAATGTTATCAACGTGGAGGATAAAAATGAAGCAAACAATGTATCGAAAGAGAGTTCAAAACATAAAAGAACTTTCTCGCGACTCAATAATATTTTTTCCAATACGAGTTTAGCAGAGTCTCACAGAAAATATTAATGCAACTGTTAGGCAAGTTTGAGGACATGAACATAAATAAAACGAAGAAGTAGAGTGAGAAGAATACCCTCATGCTTTAAACCGCCAAGCCCATCTCCATGTCATCAACGTTGCGCCTAGCCAAGGTCCTAGCATGATTGGGCATGAGAAAAGCTTTAACCATCTCAACCCAACGCATACCCCGAGTCGGGGAAACTTAAAATCCAAAAACGAAGAACCCTCTCTTTTGGCTGCCTCTCCAAGCTTGCACAGTGGGTTGACTTCTACAGGCTTATCTAGTAATTGTAAAGCTCTCTCGCTGGTTTACTTTCCTTTTCCCTTGTTTGCAACCCTTTTTTCTTTTTGATGAAGCAGGAGGCAACCGCTCATCACTCCCAAGCTCAAGCTCGGGTATTGAGTCCAAAGCTCCGGTCAAGTCAAAGTCTACATTTGCATTATAAACAATGAAGTTTATCAGGCTTGGAAAATAATAAATGAAGATACATGCAAATGTAAAAGTAAAAAAAAAAAGGAATATAAACTAGAGCCTACCAAGAGCGGGAAGAAACCCCTCATCACTCTCAGACTCAGGTAGTGAGTTCTAAGCTTTAGCCAAGTTGAAGTCCATACTTGCATGTAACAAGTGAAAATACGTACAAGTATAAATGAGAGCCTGCCAATAGGTTGACTGGTCCCCAATATCAACATCTTCCTCATGGTCAAAACTGAGGATAGGAAGGGTACAAGAGGTGTTATACGGGTTAATTGTTGTATTTGTTTTTTCAAATGAGGAATAAGCTCGACATGATTATTGAAGAGCAAGTTTGATGATGTCTCCAATTAGTGTTAAATGGAAATTGGCCTTCGAAAGGTCGAACAAAATAAAAATCGAGAGTTCCATCCATTGTTGGAATTTCTATACTTAGGAATACATAGAGGAACTCTAGTAGAGAAGTACACAAAGGCATTATACTAGGGTAGAACATGTATCTTGAAAATGCACATAAACAAGTATATGGAGAGCACGATTTTTCCACTAAGGGAAATGTATAAGAAGTATAATGCATTCCTCAACACATTGGGATATATCTGGCTAAGGGTAAGGTGGAACTCATTAAAGATTGAAATAAATAAATGATGATAGGAAATCTAAAACCTCCATCCATACTATCCATGAACCTGGCGACCTTCAAGGGTTGGACCCGAGATGTTCCTCGTTTAATTTAAGGGCTCTATATATGTAATCGTCGAGCGGGCAAACTTTTTATACAATTTTTTTAATTTGGCTGGAGAACAATAAAAACTAGGCCCCTTTAGAATTTCAAGAACTACCACCTCGCCCTTCAGATCTCGTCCAATTTCAAAATTTTGGTATGGAGACTTAAAGTAGCCAATATGATTTTTGGGAGAGCATAGTTGAAAAAAATGAGCATCAACGAAATGAGTCAGGCTATCAACAGATGAAGGAAAATTACCAATCCCGTGAGGAGGGCTAGTTGATCGACCCCCTCCCCATCTTATTTTCGATTTCGTCCGTGAAGATGATAAAATTGTCTTATATATTTTCTTGGAATGAAACTAAAGGCTAAAAAAATAAGAAAGAGAGAGAGATTGACGAAGATATTACCTTGAATGTGAGGAGATTTAAAGAGTGGCTAAGGTTTGTAAAGGAATAGAAGTGAAAAACAAATGAGAACACCTCTCCCTTCATATAGACCCAACCTTAGAATTTATTGGGGAAAAATTCTCCCCAAAATGCCAACCCACTC